CAATGTCAATGAAGTTGTCTGACTTTCTGCTTCGGCAATCGATGGATCCGGTCTGGTTGTCAAATCGGAATGAATCGAAGGAAATGTAATTGAGAAGTCTCACTTTTCAAGATATGCGTGCCCGAAAAGAAAAAGTAGGTACAGATAGACAGAATAGATAGATACAGATACACAAATAAACCATGATAAACAAACAAATAAACAGATTGGACAGATAAGATAGACTCAGATAGACTGATTAGATAGGTTGATTAGATAGGTTCGCTGGACAGGATGGCATCGCTTGAGTACATGAATTTGATTAGATGATGAGATAGGCCAGATAGATCTGAACAAGTCGATGGTAGACAGCCAGGCAGTGAGGCATCACGGCTCCAAAAGTCTTCCTGTCAGTCAATAGGCCTGCCATTTGTACTCTACATCTTCAAATCACCCGCCATCAGGCCCCTATCTTGGAAACTTCCGCCACCGTCTTGCCCATGTGGAAAAGCTTCAATGGTATCCCAAATAGCGATGAGCAGCAGCTTCACAGATCTTGAACCTGTTGAACCCCCAGCAGTAACCTGAACCCAGATCTGGTTCCCGCGCCCCAGAAGGGCCAGAAGGACCAAACCAGAACACACCAGAGCTTGGGCTGACCTTTGGTGGGGAAGGCATATAAAACGAATGATGCAAACCAGCCCCGGCGAGGGTAAAAGGAGTAAAAGGAGTTAAAGGAGCTAAAGGAGTTAAAGGAGTTAAAGGATCAAACATACTGACTTGATCTGATTTGCATCAAAAAGTTATTATCACATGTTGTTTACATCTCCACCTCCATACCTGGAGGCAGCCTGGCATGATTTTCATAATTATTGGATGGAAAAATCAAAAGACGGATAGTTAACACAACAAAAATTAACATACCATACGATAAGATTAGATTGAGGTAAGGTAAGATCAGACAGATAAGAAAAGATATGACAAGACTAGACAAGGCAAGACGGGATAAGATCAGAAGATGGCTAGAACAATTCAAATGGTATATAGATAGGTATAGGCGTAGACAGAGGAAAATGAAAGAAATTTGAATGGGAAATAAAGGATCATGAATTGGAAATTGAATGGAACATGACGCGCGACACATTATACGGAATCTACCCTGCCACACTGAACCCCCCATTTCCAACCAAACTCCGGCCTCCACTGCAAAAAACTGCACAGGATGGAGAAACAGCGTCTCAGCCCGCCTTAAGGCAGAAAGAAACCAAAAGAAACCAATCTCATCCCAAAAAGCATGCCCTTTGCTGCACACAAACTAGAAGGATCCTGCAGTTTCAGCATTGGATTCGTCAAACCGTGCATCTTTTCGCACCTTCGGCTTGCAAACGGCATGCGATAGTAAACTTGAGAAACTTGCAAATGTGTAGGTTTGTTGGCTTCAGCTGGACCTTTTGTTCAAACATGTACTTCGTTGGATGACTGCACATCCGCACATCATCGTTTGATGCTTTCAACATCGGGCACATCGCAGATGCCTTCTGCTTAAAGGTCAAAAAATGCAGATGTGCCAGTGAAACAGGACAGCATTGGACTAACCTAGTAGAACTTGGTTTCAGCGCTTCGGCAACATTTTCGATGACCATCCAGCAACCGTCAGGAACCTCGATCTTTATCCTCTTTTGATCTCTTTGGATACTTTGATATACTTTGCTATTTTTGCATATTTTTGCTATTTCAATGCTCTCCGGGTGTATGGTTTTTGACTACTCTCCTGACTGTACATGAGCCAATGCCTCATAGGTTTGACGTTTCACACAGCGACAAGATTCCGTGCGCCGGCGGGATGGATTTTGAAACAGCCAGAGGAGTTGCATGATGAGCACAGCCAAGACCAATAGGAAGACCAGCAGCTGGATTGCGGAAGGCTCCCTGAGCGTGGATCATGTTCAGCTCAGCGTGCAGCTGTTCTGGGTTAATTGCGGCAGTTAGGGTTTGTTCATCTTAGTTCTTTGGCGTGCGCAAAGCTGGCAACAAGCTCCAAACTTGGTGGCACAAACTTCTGCTGCAGCTTTGCATCGTTTTGCACAGCCAAGTATGCGCCACATACATTGATATCATGTGTTAATGGAGGCTACAGTCCAAAGGCCTATCTTTTGGAGCGCACCCCAACCCTACGGCATATCTCTGCAGGTGTCCATACTTGAAAATATAAAACCGAATATCTACAGATATCTAAACCTGTTCGGTTCAAAGCGAAAGAATTTGCCTCAACACCAGCGACAACGGACCCATTGGATGATTCGGGGCAGATGGCAACCGGAATTTTTGACCCTTCCCCCTTCCCAGGTCTTGCCAAGTATCTTCACGAGAGTATAAAAAGAACTCCAACAAATGCCGCCGCAAACGTACATGTAGATGTAGGCCAGGGGGCAGCAAAGGAAGGCTAAGAGAAGCTGTAATGGACCGTCGCCGAAGGAGAGCACGCAGTTGATCATTCGAAGCAGAAGCGGGTATGTCAATGGAAATGCTAAAACGAAAACAAGCACCCACCCGACAATTTGCGTGATCATGTACTCACTCACGGATCTGTATCCGGCCAATTTGGCTGAGCTGGCACAAGGCCCATTGTCACATCCCAGCACATTGACGCTGGAATAAAAAATCATTGGCAGGAATGCGACTAAACAAATGTGATACGGCACTGAAAGTTCATCTCCAATCTGAGAGATCACGAATTCACGCAGGTTGCCCCGGATGAATGCGTTGAAGCGGACCAAAGGATCTTCTTGCAACGGTTCGAATCGTTGAAGAACCACCTGCGCCGGTTGAGCAGGGCAAAAGGTCAAAACGACGACACACACACACCAAAGTTTAAAAGCGATGACCCTCCCTTGTCTCCTCTCCAAACACAGAACTCGCAGCTCGAAAAACACACCGTCCACAACCTTCAATGCACTTGAATGCCGTGCAAACCATTGGACTCTTGTAAGCGTTGTAAGTCACGCTTGTAAGACTTGCAAGAAACCCTGACTTGCGGAAAAGAGTTGTGTGACACTCCTGGAGACACTCTAGTAAGACTTGGGAAAACACTTTTGTAAGACACCCTTGGATGACACTCTCGTGAAACACTCATGGATGACCCTTGCATGACACTCTTGTGAAACAGTTTTGCGAAACAGTCATGTGAAACAAATTCGCGCGACACACTTATGAAACACTTCGGTGTGACACGTGCAAGTCACGTGAAACTTTCCTTTCCTTTTGTCTCCTTTTTTCTTCTTCCTTTCTCTTTCCCCACGCTCTTTTTGCCTTCTCTCTCACTCCTTCTCTTGTATTCTGTCTTTCTTTTCTCCTTCCATTCTTTTTGACCAACAGGAAAAAGAGGCAGTCAGATTTTCCAAAGAAGAGAAAACGGTGATCTTTTTTCTGGCGTACCGGGCCAGGAATGGCTAACAAAATACAGTGGGACTTTTTTTCACCAAATTGAATTAAAAACTTGAAGGCGCCGTTCTTGTTTTCACACAAGCTGACATCAACGGCCCCAATTCTCCATTGACTCTGTTCTCTCACGTTCTCTTCTGGTCCTCTGGTTTATGATGAGCCTAACTAGGGCTTCCCTACCACGCGTGTCCTTGCCCATGGCCTACAAATCCATACAATATCCACCGGCTTTTTCGTAGCTAAAAACATTGCCCGCCTCGCCATCATCAACAGCAGATGGCAAAGGTGCTGCTGTCTTGTCCTCCATCCCCGAAAACAGCGCCGTGACCTCTGGACAGTCCAACGGCCGTAGGGCATAGAGAAAGATGACGTGAGAAAACATGAGCAAATCAAGCAGAAAGACCAGGTAAGGGGATCGTCATCAATTCTATTCCTTGTCGTTTTGCAAAACATGCATCACAACATCCAATCCAGAAAAAAACGCATTCACCTTGAACTCATTCAACTCACGACGCGGTAATTTTTTTCGAATTTCTTGTGATCTTTCTGATTGGTCCGTTTCTGCACCGGACTTGCCCCTGACTTGTCCAGACAAAGTTGCAGCCGCCGTGCGTTGAGCGTACAGAGTATGAAACTATGATTAGCAAATTTCGCATTTTTATGTTTTTTACTCTTTGTTCTACAGTGCTCAAACGGTCATTTGCACGAAACGGCGCTGTTTATCCAAAATTCCAATAATCTGCCTTTTGAATCCTTTTGATACTTGGGTGAAGATAATGGAACCGGGCGCCTGATCCTGACAACAAGAAAATCCCTGCGCCCGGGCCTGCGACTCTATGGAAGCAGGATCTGAAGCCACTGTGCAGCGCGCTGCTCTCACATCAAAAGTTGACATCTGCTCCAGCATCAACTGATGGCTGAGAAGCTTTGCTCGAAAGCAGAAGAAGCTGGGTATAGAAACGGGCAAGTAAGCGATGCCCGAAAACATCCAAACGTCAAAACTGGATACGAATGATTCCATGGCAGGATTGTGCCCGAATATAGATTCAGGCATCTCAGGAATGTTGTGCATCCATGCTGCACTGAAGTTGGGAAAAAGGTGGACCATGACCTCCAATATGCTTGCACTTGACAGATCCAGGAGAATTGTGGACAGCAACCACGGAGCTAACCAAAGAGGCATCAACTCAACTTTATCAGTGCCCCCATAACGCGCACACGTTGCCAACTCTAGATTGCACCAAAGCCTTTCAAAGTATGTCTGATCCCACAAAACCAGCATCTTGGAAGATTGCGCAACAAAGACTGGCAAAGCATTGATCTGCTCTTTCTTCTTGTCCATGTCTGTTTGATGAATACAGATCCGATCAAGCCAACATGATGGCAACGAGCGGCCCAAGGGAAGTCCGTGTCCGAAGATCAGGACGATTGCGAAGGTGACCATTGGAAAACAGACCAAACAGGGAAAGAGCAGCATACTTCCGCCCAAGCCAGTCACTCCCATGGATCCCACCAGCAAGGCAACTACAACGAACCATGCGGTGAAGGAGCATGCGATTGCGAACTGCAAGTTGAAATACCTAGTGACAACATTTGACAAGATGTATCAAAATAAATGAAAATGTATCAAAATGTGACAAAATGTGAAAAAAACGAAATGTATCAAAATATGAAAAAATGGGTCAAAGTGTGAAAAAACGTATCAAAATGTATCAAGATGAAACAAATTGTATCAAAATGTAACAAAATGTATCAAAAATGTGACAAAATGCGATAAAAGTGTGACAAAATGTGACAACATGTATCAAAATAAATGAAAATGTATCAAAATGTGACAAAAAAATGAAAAATGTCAACATGTATCAAAATGTGACAAAATGGATCAAAATGTGACAAAATGTATCAAAATACATGAAAATGTGACAAGCTGTGACAAAATGTATCAAAATGTATCAGCATGTATCAAAATGTGACAATAGGTGACAAAATGGATCAAAATGTATCAAAGTGTATCAAATGTGACAATATGTGACAAAATGTATCAAAATGTATCAAAGTGTATCAAAATGTGACAATATGTGACAAAATGTATCACAAGGTGTCAAAATGTATCTGTGGTTCATGGAAGCCTCGCGCACAAATCGAGAAGTGCATCACAGGGTTGTAAAGATTGGCCCCTGCAAGGATGACATGCACTAATCTCAAGATCTTTTGACTTTGGGCTCAAGAAAAATATCGCTTTGGGCGGATTGCACTTTTCCCCTTTTTCAACCTTCGTATCAAAATGTGACAAAATGTGACAAATTGTGACAAAATGTATGGAGGGCCATGCGATGTCAGAAGAGGGAGAGCGGTCCTCTATGGGGATTCCGAGGCTGGCATCCAGATTTTGCCGTGCCCAGATAGACCCTTCAGGACACGCCACCTGAGACTCCGTGCCTTTGTCTTGAGGGAGCGAATCAAGAAGGAATGGTGGAAGGCCCGTCACCTACGTGGAGAAGTTCTTGTACCAGACCCCTTCGCCTTGGAGAAGTTCTACCTCCTGGCTGGGATGGTGGTCCCAGATGAGGAGAAAAGGGCTCCCTACTTCAAGAAGATCAAGAGCCTGGTGGGTGTCATGGCTGGACTCGGAATGTGGAAACCAACTTCAGCTGAGCAGAGACGGAGGATCTTCGTGCATTGCCCCGTTGGCTGGAGATCTTGCAGCTGTGGTGCCCAAACTGTGCTGCCTAAATGGCTCCCGATCGGTGGGGCGCGTGGGAAGCCATGGGATCGAGGGAGCGACCAAGCTGGCTGTAGTCCGCTTGGGCCCCAGGAGATTGTGGGAGTTGGAGGAGTTTCATCACCCACCATGTGGTCGGGACCAATGGATTTTGTATCCTGGCGGCTGGTGGGTGCGGAGGCATGGCGGCTTACGTCGACGTGCATTCCATCCTCTACATCGATCAACACCTTCCCCTTTGGATGGGGCCAGAGACTTAGCTTTGTATAGTGGTTTCCCTGGTTTCCCTTTGGGTTTCTGGTTTGTTTCTGCCCGGGCTGCTGGCCCGGTGGCTGATTTTATTAACAGCTGGTTCATTCAAGCCTTCAGCCGATTTATTGCTGGGCCATATCCTCCAAACCATATCGGGTAAATCAGCCGTGCCAGGTCATGAGCCGTCGTACTAAGTGACTAAGTTATCAGCCGTACTAAGTTATCAGCCGTATCTGTATCAGGTTTTTTCCACAAAAAAAACAAGCCTTCGCTGCTGATGTGTGTGTGTGTATCTGCAGTTGCTAGTGGTTGTTTGTGTGTGGGTGTGTTGTTTTCCAAACTGTTCATCCAACAAACTGTTCATCCAAGTGCCAAGTCAAAAGTGCACTGACTTTCAGTTTTCCAAATTACATTTCACTGAAGCACCAACTCAAATTGAATTTGGAACCCCAAGTGCCAAGTCAACATTACAAACATTTTTGAAGTCAAACTTCCAAGTGGCAAATGTTGCAAGGCACATGTCAGCCATTTTCACTTTTCCTGCGGCGAGGTCATGTCAGCCATTGGTCTAAAACCAGATCCTCAAGGAATTGGTTTGTCATTGTCGTCAATGTCAAGTACGGTCACTGACTTGGTCTTCGCTTTGGTTTTAGTCTTGAGTGTCTTCTTCTTCACATCTCGCTCATGTTGGCCTTCATTCTTCCTCTTCTTGGCTTGGGCCCATGCAGGAGGGTAGGAAGATTTCGCGGCTGGAGTGTAGTAGGAAGATGTCGCGGCGGTCATCCTCAGAAGCAAATTCATTGAAACCAGCGACGACCGACGACAATAACTTTTAATCTTAATGCCATGGAACCTCGGGGTACCGTCAGTCTCGGTCTTGTCCCCTCTTTTCTGCTGATTTCTCGCATCTAATTTCTCAGCCATTGTCTTGACATCACTTCGAAGGTTGTTCAGGTCAAAGGCCATCTTGCGCAAAAGAACTTGAAGAGCAGGGGGGGAAGCTTGCATTGCCTCGTTGAACTGAATGCATGTCCAAGGGCATCGGCCTCGGTCTCGGTCACCGGACATCACTATACAGCACGGGTGAAATAAGGGCTCACTACCGAATCAGCCAAACTACGGACGATCATCACTCAGGCTAAATTGGAAATGGTGTTTCGAAATTGCTTTGAAATGGCCAGATTGAAAAACAACGGACCACATACAGCTTTCTTTTGCCGCAAAATAGCCCACTGTCATCTGAGCATTGAGTCTGTCTAATTAATAAATTACAAATTGGGTCTTTCGGCCGCTTTAATGCCAGAAGTGCTCCAGTTTCTCCATCTCTTCTATGCTCTTAGCGTCGCACTCACAGTCGCGGCCGATACAAGCCATCATTGCCATTGACTTCCTCAGCCAAAGACAGCACAATAATAATGAATTTTTAGATAGTTTTTCTGCCGTTTATTTGATGGAAACCTACTGCCATGAATCATTAAATAGTCATCACTCCAGTAAACGTCAAGTTTCCGGTCATCGGCTATCCATGGACTGCATGGCATCCAGCACGAAAGACAAATCCGCTCACAAGCCGCAACTTCAAGCAACTGGTGCCGGTGCTTCTTCCTGGCATTCTTTGCCGCTTCAGCCGCAACAAGCAACTGGTGCCGGTGCCCTTCATCAGTTTCGGATTTTCCCATTGCTGCAGCAGATGATCACGACGATGATCGATACGTACTTCCGGATGTTGGACATCTTCCAGGCATAAATTTCTCTGTACTTCGAGATCACACGGGGGACATTGGTTTTGTTGAAGCCGCACTTGACTTCATTTCTCGGGGCCAAGAAGAAATTATTTTTGTACTTTTCACTTTGGGTCACTGGCTCCCACTTGCCTGTATCGTCGCGTCTGCGGCCGACCCTGAGGCATTTGTCGAAGGTAACCTCTCCCACCAGACGGTTGCATTTGCTCATAGCTATTGCTGTGGGTTTCCTCTTCCGGTGCTCAGGCATCGGAAATGACCGAAGTTCCCACGTCTTGTTGCCATCAAAGATCTGGTTGCACCATTCCTTGCTGATGAAGAGGGCTGACTTGGGGGGCATCTTGAGCTTCAAATGCAGCTGCGGTTAAAGACAAGACAGTCAGTGGTCAGTCATGGGCAGCCTTTAAATTAATAAGTTCAACAATGAATGTCACTGAGTCACATCAACTTGAAAAAAACGGTCAAATTGGGGACCCCCACCGTCAGCCCACTTGCGCGGAATCCCAACCCTCATGAGCTATTAAACGGCAACGATCATCTGCAACGCAGTGACATTGAAGTGCAATGCAAAAATACTTAAAACTGAAAACATGATAACCCCAAAACTGACAATGATAACCCCTGCCAGGCCCAAGCCATGATCCCGGCCAAGCCCGCAAAGTAAAACCAAGACAGGCTTAGCCGGGCTCATGACGACAGGGCGAAGCTGGGTCTAATTCTGTTTTATCATTTTTGATACTGTAATAAACTGACATCAAGTCAACTCAAGCTTCAACTGCTGAATCTTTTTTTGCATTCGTGCCTCACTCTGCCATGGGTCAGCCTGGTCCTGATCCATCAGCGGATTTACTTCGCCTTGGCATTGGACTTCATGGCAGACTTGATGGCGGACTTCATCACCTTGGCTTTGGGCGGCTTCTGGGGCTTGTGGCGGGCAGGCTTCTTGTAGGTCATCTCCTCCTTCTTTGGCAGGTCCTTCGCACGCAGCTCACTGTTGCCGACCCTTTCATATTCATCTCTGGCACCGGGGTTCCTCATCACATAGCGGGGTCGTTCGTCCACCTCGGACGGCTCATAGGTGCTGAGGGCGCCGGCATCCACTGGACCATATACCACTGCCTCTGCCACCAGGGCCATGCGGTCCACCACTGCCACCGCCTTTGCCATGGCTGGGGCCAGGACCACCTTTGCCATCTCCTTTTCCATCGTCACGACCATGCGGCCAGTCTTCGTCGCCACCATTCCCATCATCCTCAGCCACTAATTTTTCAAAACCCACTTGATCAAATTAAATGAGTCAAGGCACTCGTCCTCGTCGTGATGACCTTGGGCGCTCCCATTCGTCCATGACGATGTTGTTCGCGCGGTCCCAGCCCAACCTCTTCAACCTTAAGTGTCACAAACGTCGTGTCAAAATTGAAAAATTCAAAATTGACACATCTTATCAAATGGCCATGGAATTAGAACAAGTGTAAGTAATCAAAATAAATTGGACCTAAGCGGCTCGTAACCCCACCAGTTATTTGTGCGCCATCTTCTGTTTCGTAACCGGTGGCATTGCCATGGCTGGAGTCGGAGTTACAGCGGGCACATCTTGAACCTCTAATTTTGAGCCGGCCCGGCAAGTCAAAAACAACTTTTGACAAAAACAACTTTTGACAAAAAGGAATTTTCAAATTTTGACAAAAACAACTTTTATCCATGCAAATCCTTCCATCATGTAACTTGACATCGCTGACGGCCAAAGCTGTGTGTGTGTGCGCGTGCCAGTGTGTGTCAGTGTGTCAGTGTGTCTGTGTGTGTACACCCTTCTAGCACAGGGAATTGTTAACTGCACATGTTCATACAAAAATATGCAGCGGGG